ACTGCTTGTTTATGCTCATTTCTTCGATTATATTTTATATTTTATTGCAATACCTTTCGTGGACCTTTCATAGCATCGTGTGGCAAGTGAAAGTGGCAGGCTGAAGTCAATATTAAGTACAAATAACTCAAATTTTGGTTTTTTTTTATCCGTGTATAGACGAGTGCATGGAAAGTTCACTCACTCAAGGAAAAGCGGCCCAAGCCGCAGCAAAGATTGCCAGTAATGCAAAATATCATGACACTCACGTGACACTCGTCTTCGCACCAACCGACTATCGCTGACAGATCGTTTTGTCACGCAGTGAGAGTTAGAGCCATGGCAAACAACAATCATCAGTAATGGTCGCTGCTCACAAGCAAAACGCTACACTCGCTGCTAATGATGAAAAGCACAACGAAAACAGTGAAGACTTTTGCAGTACGATCATGAGAAAAAGCGAAACGACAGAAGAAAATGAAAACAATGCCTACGCATTCCAAGTTCGTCTCGGCAGGCGCGACTGTGTAAGTTACAAACAAAGCAGGCAACATGAAACGGAAGCTGTTGGGCTCACTCACCAGTACACTCAAATAAGCAAGTAAAGCAGCAACTGCTTCAAAACGAGCACAGATGAGTGTCGTGATTGTCGGGAATGACCAGATCGGTGACGGATCACAACAGAAGACGACATTCACCAGTTGCTTTTTACTTCTTTCGTCAACTTGATGGATGGTCATGGAGAGAGCTTCGACGAGCACATTGATAGGAATGTACAAAGCGTTACTACCATCAGCTGTATGGTGATCGTGATTGTGATAGCTCGCAACTCTGAAGATAAGCTTGTGTCACTTTTTTTCGAGTAAGTGAACTCAAATCCATCCGTGCACTCATCTACACTGAACGAAAACATCCGCAATAGTTGGAATGATTATTGCATTGCTCGAGTCCTTTAACAATATGAATTCGAATTTCGGATGATTGTCTTATAGTACGTTCAGACTACAGAGTTATAATATGTTATAGCGCTATCTTGATGATGGTTTCTGTGTTGCAATTATTTGACAACCGTTATAACATGTTATAAATCTCCAGTCTGGACAGCGTTTTACGGTTGAATGTGCCGTCAGATGATGAGCATCCATATGACTGTCATCCAAATAAAGGAGGACAACAATTTAAGAACAGTATGACATGCAAGAGCTTTAAATTAGATTATTTATATGTCCATACTGAAAAGCCATGATCAGCCATTCCATTATGGAAACCAAATTTCTTCGTTGGTAGAGGAAACTTCCTCCACCACGAAATAGACAAACTTTGATTTCCTCGCTTTTTGTGATGTTTACACTTAGGCTAGCTCACTAGAGCTAATGAGCTCACTGCTAGCAAAAACGCTCACCAGCATAATGTAAACAGGGCATCAGCGTCTACCAGCATGAAATTTCAGGAGCAACTGAAATTCGTGCTAGTTGGCGAATACACTAGCGTGAGTAAATCCACACAGATGTAAACACCCCATTACCCAAGTTCGTACTATTTAGCTCTGACAGCGATTTATATCCTTCCTCCTCATTTATCAGCTCAGGTCAGCAAATTACGTTCCAAAGAATTATTATTATTTGAATGATGTGTGTTCAGCCCAATACCATGTGCAGTTAAATTTAGGATGAAATCATTCTGCAGAGACCATTACGCATTTTAACTGAAGGCCCTATCCTTTCTCATGACAATGTTGATGCTGTATTCGAGAGAAAATTCATCTGATTTCATAACAACTGAGGATGATGTTTTGGTACAGTGTATGAGCAGCTCTCACCCCAGCAAGTGGCAGCAGATTGGCATAAGATGCAAACAGAAACACAGCGAGGGAAAGAGAGAAGAAGAGTAAACTCATGCGGGAGGATGATTTGGCATGAGGTGCGCTTTTCTCTTCGTTGCTCGCACGCTTATTTGAAACTTTTGAACAGTACTGTTAATGTTCATATCATTCGATTGAAGATGAACCAATACAACCATTCAATCAATTCTGTGAAAACGAATTCACACATGATCATAATTTGAAGAGCCCCTTTCTCATTCGAAGCTCATCGTCACTGTCAATTGAGTCACTCACTATCATTTGATATACGACAGCGGAGTATGGAAGAAACCCTGCAAAATGATCCCGAACAGACAAGTCGACCCAATGTCAGATCAATGTAATGCAAATTTAAGGTCGATGTTGACCCAATGTCGTGTTGTTGTCGGATCAATTGCCGGAATGTCGACCAGAGCTCCGTTTATGTGTAGGTTACACTCAATTGAATGATATCAAGCGTTTCTCAAATGAGAATGATCCATGCCTTTGTCAAATGACTAAGCAACTGATATCACCCATTCGAAGGATAGCGGATAGCTGCTTTTTTCATTTTCATCAAAAATGTTCAAATGATTTTGTGATTTTTCAGCACTGCTTCCGAACTAAGAACTAATTTTAAATTTCTCCGAATTTGAAAGAGAGTACTTTAACTCACTAATGGATAATAGATTTTGCCCGTTTGATGAGTAACTGTTACCCATTAATGAGTAACTGTTACTCATTAATGGGTAACAGTTGCTCATTAGATGCGGAACAATTTACCTAATATCGAGTTAAGCAGATTTACTTCATTTGATGGTGAAATTTTACACATTACATTTAATTTCAAGTTAGCGTGCAGAATATTGACCTCAGAGTTCACCCCCAGAGAGATCGTGAGAACGGGTGAAAGCAAACATGAAAATGAATGCCGGATAATCGAGGTAATCTTTCATTCTCTTTCAATGCTCTTTCGCTCTCAATCTACGAGTGTATCGTGGAAAGTATTTTGTAAAGGAAAATTTCACTTTTTAAAACATCGCAAATTTTGGCTTATTGACGTGTGTACGCATACACGGCGAATTAGAACGAACCAAATTTGAGTTAAGTTTTCTAAAAATCGCCAAAAGTGCAGGAACCCACCGAGGAGTAAATTTTACTGATGTTTTTCTGTGAAAAACCTCAAAAATCTGCCGAGAAATGTGGAAAATTGGCGAATATTTTACTCAATCTCGGAATAGTACCAATATACTGAGTGAATCCAATCTTTACTTTTATCAGGATTTTTTGCTGGAAAATCCTGGAAAAAATGAGTAAAATTTGCTCATCGCTGAGTTACTACACTTTATGTGAGTTATGAGCAAGCTTAACTCGGATTTGGGTCGTTTTTATTCGCCGTGCAGATTTTTTAGAGTTCATGCACTGAAAAAAAATTTACAGGATAGTGAGGCCTTCCTTTTAATCACTTCAAATTATACATTCTAGCAGGATGTTTAAAAAAATATTATTGAAGATTCGGAAGGAGAAGTTCAATGTGATTTGGTGAGTGGCTATGTTGAGTGACGTTACAACTCTTTGCTCTTCTCAACTACACTACTTAACAAGCACTCACCAAAACGCTTTGAGCTACTCAAATCAGAAGATCTTGATGAATTCTTACAGGAAATCTAAAGCACTTTACAAATCTTCAATAACATTTAGTGGTTACTTTTATTTGTTTGTACACTTACAATACAAAAACTGTCTAACAACAGGCAAAAACCGTTGTAACGTCACGTAAAATGTGTCAAATGTACTTTTCTTTGTAAACACTTACTTTCAAACCCCCCATTCTCAGTTACGAAAAAAAGCAAAATCTATAATATTTCCGTCATTTCTGTTCATATTTTGTATCTATCCATCTAAAAAATCCGCACGCTTCTCAAGTTTTGATGAATTTAAAGGATTTTGAAAATAAAACCAAAGTATTCTGAATTGAAATGAGGTAGTTTTTTGACGTTGGGGGTTGGAGAGTTAAATCCGTTTATGAGCAAATTGCTCAAAATTTTTCACTGAGATCTGTCAAAAGAAAAATGTATCATTGTACAAGGTGAGAGATCATCTGGATTTCATATTTACTCGAATGAAATGCTGCTCGTTACATTTGATTTGCTATTTGAGTTGAAAGAGTGAAAATTGTGTAATGCGTCAATTTCTCATAGGAAATTAATTGCATTATTTTGACTGATTGGAATTGGATTCAACATAAAAGTTTTGCATTATTTCCACTTCAAATATAAAAAAACACAGCAAAATACTACTTCCAATTTTAAGTTGATCAAAATGTCATAAATATAAATCATAAATTTGGTGGGAGAAATTTTTCCATAACTCAAAAAATTGCTTTTTTCAACCAACTAAAGTGTTTGTACTTGATGCAACGCATGTGAAATTTAAAAAAGGGTCAACGCCTCTTATGTCGACCGACTAAAAGAAATAAATCATTTTTGATCAATTATTCATTAGCAACCATAGCAATTAGCCATATGTATTTTGCAGCTGATGGAAAGGTCTTAAATTGAGAAACCAACAGAGCCAGAGTCCCATGGGATCACAATAAATATGTCTAAAACTAAATTGATTATATTGCATAGCATTTCATTTGGCTTTGATTTGGGTTAAAGGTACGAGACTTGGAAAATATATCTTCGATCTAGATCACTGCTCGATCTTGAATCTTGGGAACCAGAAACCATTTACGCTATCCCTATTGTGCTTGTTAGGCTTAATTTCCATTTTAAAGCAGCTTTCGTAAACATGCATTTTATGTGTGCCATAGAATCTCGAAAATGCAAAGAAATTGAACTAATGAGAAACACCTCATTGCACGATTTAGACCCTGGGAAGAGAACGTGTGCCTGATTGTGATGCTCGTGTGCTCCATCCGACAAACAAGACGAAGAAAGTAGCACTTGCTAGCGGTACCGTGCTAACTGTCTATCTACCATTTTTCGGTGAACCCTCTTCTCCCATCAACTTGGTGCTTCATTTAGGCAACACGCAAATCGAAATGTTTAGAAATTGACCCTAATTTCCATGTGAGCACTAGCTAGTGATTATCACACACTCGATTTCACACTTGTCAACCCAACCCCACGGCGTCCTTGATCTCATCGGTCAACCCCCTAACATGAATACACACCTTCTTCCAGCCCGCGGCCAAGTTCGTCGCTCGACAGCTTGGGCAGACTAATCTGAATCGTCCGGCTGCTGAACACTCCGGCAATCTTCTCCAGCAGGATGTTGGTCAGTGCTTCATCCCGTGCTTCCAGTCCCCGCGGCAGGGTTTGCTCCAGCTCCAGCTCGGTCAGCGGTTTGCTCTCGACGGCGATGGCCCGCTCGTTGCGGACGATCTTCATGTCGCCGACGGCCAGCGTATCGACGCGGCTCAACCGATCGATGAAGGTGATGGCGCGCTTCTTGAGACACGGCGCAAAACCGGCCTCGGCCTTGGAGCACTCGTCGTAAACCCGCACGATGGCACGTAATCCTTGGCTTTGGTAATCCTCGGTGGCACCCAGGACCACCGCACTTAGCACCACCACGGCACACACTGATCGTAACACAGGATTCATCTTGTATATTTTGATTTGCGTCTTTCGTTTTGGTTTTTTGGTTTTTCTTGTTTCGACAAAAGTCCTTTTCCAACACAACACACCACACTAAGTGAGGTCCTTTCCGGTTACGGGGTAAGGATTTCTTCTTCTCTGGAAGCACACCGGATCACAGTCGCAAGATCACTGATGCTGAGTTCAAAAAACAACGTCATATTTATATGAGGCGAACGTTAGTTTTTCCTTTTCCACCGATGGCCCAAGTCGGCGGCAGCAGCAGCAGCAGCAGCAACGAGCGAGGAGGTTCAAAATCTCGCGACCGCGCGACTTGGTGAGCGAAAGAGAGCGAGAGAAAAGCGACGCCGCGAAAAGCCCGTACGTTTTTCGGCCACACGATCGAGCCAGCTTTTTCCGCCTTTTTCGTCGTCGTCGTCGTCGTCGTCGTCGTCCGGATTAACACCGGTCTCTTTCATGCACGGTGGAGCGCCGCCGGTCGGGAGCGATGCACTTGCTTTTCTTCCATCCCACCACCATCATCGGGGGGGCCGTGTGCCTGACCGTAGACGACACACGTTACCTACGTTGCACTGCACTGAACATGTGAGGGGTTAACTTTTCGCGTGGATTTCGCTTTCCGCGAACGGAGATGGAGATCTCTTCAGTAAGACAATAGGCTCCATCGGGAGACGGAGGCAGGAAAATGCGCGAGCGCGTCAAGATGAATTCACCTTCGTTAACCTGTGATGAAGCGGCAGGCGGGGGGTGTGCGGGGGATTTATTTATGTTTTGATTAAAGAGATTGTAATTAGCATATTAAAATTTGTTGCATCTAGCGCCGGGGAATAGCAGGGATTGGTTTGCGAATGAAATGGATGGAAATCAAGTTGTATCGGGCATTCCTGGTGTCAGGTGAATTATTCAAATTAATTGTCTGACTTGTTGGATGGATTGCAATGTTGAGGAGGAAGTGGAGCATAATTGGGTGAGATATTTATGAGTTCTTCTTAGGAATGTTGGAGGTATTTTTAGAGGGATTTTCTAGGCAAGCAAAAAACTTAATTTGTTATAAGTTACACTGGAGGGAAAAGGACCGGAAAAATTAACCTTTTCCTTTTAAGGCTCGCTACATCAAAATTATGCTAATCAAATGTAAATCCTGTTTCACGATTAAATTCGTATGTAAGTCGCTAAACTAAAGGTGGATCAGAAAAAAGTCTATAGCATAAAAAAATTTATCCTCCTATGGCATAGAGTTGTCCGTGAATCAGGTAGAAGTCCTCGTCCTTCTCAGAAGTCTGCGTTGAATACGGTGACGAAAGGTTTCCGCTGCACAGTTGAAGTCGAAAAACTCGTAAAACTCGTTGAAACACCCAGACATGAAACGTATTGGGTCATGCAAGCTGTAGTTCGCAGCACGAGGTCCAAGATGCAGGAAACTCCTCGACCGAAGAACTCGTTCGGGTGCGTAGATTTCGAATTCAGCCAAGATTCCTGGAGAGTTGATATCACCAATAAGTACTTTCGCTGCGAACACGGCCTGACTAATCGTCCGCCTATGTTCTAGTGTTTCAAGACCCAGGAGTTGACAACGATCTTCGTACGGCGGAAGGTTCACAGGGTCATTCCAAGGAAGGTGACGAAAGGCATACCGAACAAATTTCCTTTGAACAGATTCAATCCTCGCTATCCAAATTGCTTGATACGGGCACCATACTACCGAGCTGAATTCCAAGATCGATTGCACTAGAGAGCAGTATAGAGCTTTTAGACAAGCAGGATCGCGAAACTCGTCAGCGATCTTGAAAATGAACCCGAGTTGCCTGTTAGCTTTCGCAACGATGCCAGAGTAATGAAGCTTGAATGTTAAGGCGCAGTCCAGCGTGATTCCTAGGTCACGAACATTGTCCACACGTTGCAGAAGTTGGTGATTTATCGTGTAGTTGAATGCCACTGGTTTCAGCTTGCGATGAAATGAGATAATATTACATTTTTGTACATTCAACGTGAGATAGTTTCTTGAGCACCACTCTTCGAAAGTATCGATTAGGTGCAGAAACCGCAAGCAATCGGCGAAGTTATGAACAATCACATAGATCTTCACATCATCCGCGTAGAACGATCGGCAACCAGTTGGGAGGATCAGTCCGGCCTCATTCACAAAAATCGAGAATAGCAATGGTCCCAAGTTGCTACCTTGAGGAACACCGGAGCTGTTTGTAAAATAGTCCGATTGCTCTGATCCGATTCTAACACAAAGTTCCCTATTGGTCAGATAGGAATTGACCCAACGAGTTAAACCCGAGGATACACCGAGTTTTTTAAGTTTAGCTAGCAGTATGGAGTGGTCAACCCGGTCGAATGCAGCCTTGAGATCTGTATATACAACGTCCACCTGCGCTCCAGCTTCCATACTCCGAAGACATAAAGAAATGAACGGAGCTAGATTTGTTGAAACTGATCTCTTGGGATAAAAACCGTGTTGGTCAGGAGAAATGTAATTTCTGCAGCTAGAGAATAATGCGTCGTTGATGATGATTTCGAAAACTTTTGAGCAGGCACTGAGTGATGTTTTCCCTCGGTAATTTTCGACGTTTCTCTTCTCTCCTTTCTTGTAGATCGGGAACATGAATGACGATTTCCAACGCGTAGGGAACTCCCCCTGCTGTAATTAAATATTGAACAGCTTCGAAAGCGGTGTTGCAAGCTCTGAACAGCATCGCTTCAGGATGCTTGAGGGGATCACGTCAGGGCCAGCAGCATTAGAAAATTTCAGCTTCTTGATGGCGGATTCGACGAAGTCTACTGTAACCAAGGTAATCGAAAAATTGAAAGCATCACTGGGAGTGTCCCTCACCGCTTCAGCAACTTGGGACAACGAAGCCGTAGTGTAATTGAAAATGCTTTTGAAATGTTCTGCCAGAAGATTGCATTTCTCAAGGGAATTGCTGCCGATTCTATCACCCAGGTGAACTTCGACTGGTAGCCCCTCCTCGTTTCGTTTGATATTTACGAATGACCAGAACTGCTTCGGCTTAAGCCGTAAAATAATCGTTTGGTGAATGGGTTACGAGTACGACAGTATTTACGGAGGGCCTTCGATCTCAGACGCTTCAAATTCCGTAGTCGAGCATTGGCCCATGTGGGTTTGGGAGAGGGTCTCCTCAATGAGACAGAATCAGTTATTGCCCGGCCGACGACCTCAGCGAAGTAGTTGACGGCTTCATCAATAGATGAACACGTGTCAAGGAACTGCCAATCTGCCTGGGCAAGCGAGTGCCTCAGTGCCACGAAATCTGCTCTACGAAAGTCGAGCTCATGTAGGTTGATGGAAACTTCCAACGCAGGATGATTGGTGTCGATGCCAATCAAAGGCTCTGAGGCTTCTAGGATAGAACATTCCAGTCCTGCAGCTTCGTTTGCCAGAACGAGATCAAGCAGCCTAGAGTTGCTATTCAGTATCGAGTTGATTTGCGTTAAGCCATGCAGGTTGAAACCATCAAGGAGAGCACAGCATGATGCGGGCATGTTCGAGCGAAGAACATCAATGCTAGGAAGATCGTTTGCAGGAACGTTCCATGAGAGCCCAGACTGATTGTAGTCACCAAATATCAGAGCTAGGTCGTTTTGTTCTAGTCGAGAGAACACGGTACCAATCGAACTGATGTGGTTTGCAATGCTGCTCGAATCAGATTTCCGGTCTGGAGGTAGATACATAGCGCCAATACTTATTGATCTACGAGGCGTCGTTATTTTGACCCACAGCTGCTCTAGAGAAGTGCAAACAGGAGCAGGATCGATGCAGGAGCTCAGGCGTTTGGATACCACAATCAAGACGCCTCCCCCACGCGATTTGGTACTATTCTGGTGGTTGCGGTCGTTTCGAAATACCGTGAATAGACTGCCAAATAATTGAGATGAAGTAATGCGTTCATCGAGCCAAGTTTCCGTAAGAACTATGACATCGTAGTCAGAGTCAACGGCAGTCAGGAAAAAATCATCAATCTTTGTTCGCAGGCCACGAACGTTCTGGTAATACACCAACAGGCGGTCGAACGAAGTCGGTTGGAGGTCTGCAGAATGATCGATCAGCCGAAACGAGCATGGTGGTACTCTAGAACACAGAGACGGATCAGGAGAAGAACTGTTTTCAACAAACGCATACTTGCCTGATGTAGAAGGTTGGAAGACCCCTTCACCATTCTCAACCACAGGGCCAGAACGACTACGATGACAGGAATCAGCAAGCGCGACTGGGTTGAGTGGCTCAGGGGCTTCCTTGAGGCAGCAGGCAACGCGTTCTGGTCTGGGATGTTCCAAAACGTGGCGAGCAAGATCCGGTGCAGTGCTGTATGTCCCATCGGTGATGTGGGATTTGAAGCCATCGGAGTATGACGTTTCAGTCGAACCAGCCGATTGTTGCTAAATTGAGTAGGGAAAATGTCGACTTCGGCAATACCTTAACCTATTATCGTCAGGGGGTAAACAACGTCCTTGAGAGCTCAATTTTGGCATGAGGATACATTGTGTTTGAGAGCATCTATTGGCCAAATTTTAGTGCTCTACGACTTTGCTTACCCCCTGATGATAATAGGTTAAGGTATTGCCGAAGCCGACATTTCCCCTAGTTCCTTATTATTCCCTATTGTTCCTTATCGCAAAATATTTGTTTATTTGTCGTCAATCAATGTAGACCGTTTTACAATAGTGTTGTTGCCTTATATGGTATTTTATAACATACGTTTTATTTGAAATTGTCAATCAATGTAGATAACATATACAAATATCTAGGAAATAAAAATTGTTTTAAACTTAACGAGATGAAAGCCTAGCAGTTAGTGTTCTCCTTACTGTATCTTTAGACATAGCTAGATCTTTACCACAGAACATATGTGGAACTTGATGCTTATTAAGGTTCTACAAAGGGTAATTAAATTTGTATTCGTTTTATTTTTGAAATATTCTTCAATCATCATCATTGGTTTACACATACATTCTCATATTATTAATACTAAAATTTAACACTTGTATTTCATAATTTTAGAACGAAAACTTCCTGGGTAAAACTTATCGCTACTCTTTCATAAAGGGCCTAGTTGGCCCCGACATCCCCCCTATACTTAAAAGTCGTGAGCTGCATCCGTATGATATTCGTTAAGATAAGCAGGCCTACGCT